CAGTAACCAAAATTAAAATGATAAGAGTATCATTATTCATTAATAACTTAAATGCCTCAAAGTTAAAACTAGTTTTATGCATGAACTATGAAGAAGTAGGGCAAAGATCTTGAATGTAGAGATATCAGATCCAATTATGGGGAAAAAGATATAAAAATTACGATAAACTTATTGGAAACCCAAGTTTCCAAATGGAAGAACATTCAAAAGTTAAATGCATGTAAGAAAATAAAGGATTAAGAGATCTGCAACAGCTTGAACGTTTAAGCAAACTGAAGGAATTTTTAAGGCTTGTAACATAGTACAAATAAAGTAACAATTGAATTCTTAAGATTAATTTCCAAAATTTAATCTTGTATAATAAATAATTTAAAATTTTAGAATGTCCTAGAGAAAAGTAAAAGAAAACTTGCCCTTCTAGTTAAAAAAAACAATGTGTTGGCATGCAACACAGAAGATCTTGAGATTTGAAGGGTACTTGAAAAGCATTTCAGTAAATCATGCTATATTCTGATGTTCTAAGGAGATAAAGATGAAAAAAAAAAAGAGAAATATAAGAATGTATAATAAAAGACATGATTCATGAAACAGAAAAGGTGCTCCTATTCATCCCCTTAATTTATTTTATTTAAAAAATGAAAATGGAATGGCCAACATCATAAATTTCCCCTATGGTTTCCCCAAGGATTAAAGCATTAGCAGTATAAACAGGAAACTCTTGTTAATAAAGGTATTATAGTAAGGAACACGTCTTTAATCTTTCTAGCACGTGCAAGCTTCTAATGATCTTTTGAATCTCTCTCCTCACACAATTCTAGAGGCATGTTCATAAAAACTTGTACATGTAAAAAGGTAATTTATCTTTGAGAAAAACATTAAAAAAATGAAGATGAGAACCATCCTCAAGGAGCCTTGCCTTTATAACACAACATGAGTCTCGGTCTTTCCTATATGGAGATATTAGACTGGTAATGCAGATTAAACCAGCATTTGCAAAGCACTTTGCTATTTTCCCTAAATCAGATGCACAAAGGCTTAGAAACAACTTAAACAAAATGTGCTAGAGATGAATCGACCCATAAGCATACCTTAAACTCTACCAAAACAAATGTTGAAAGCCCACAAGCCTTCTACTCATATCAAACATTAACATATGCTCATTTACATCTAATTACACAAAGGCTAATAGTTAGTATGTTCAGACTTCACGATGTCCTTATTCACTCTTATATTTTTTTTTTGAGTAATTATATATATAGTGATCAGTACATAAGGCTTATATATGTTAATCAATTCATAAGACTTTGGCCATTCAAAAATAATCAATAAATACCCATGAAAACATCAAAATAGCAAACAAATTGATGCAAGTTCACAATTTGTTGCATGATTCAACTGTTAATTAGTCCATTAGGTCAAGGTGGTAAAAACAAGCAATTCAAAAAAGAAGAAAACTCAATTTAAAATAGGTCTCAAAACAAAAGGAAATGAACTTGTCTAAGGATTTGAAGCACCATATTACATATCTTTTAAACAATTGACAATAAAAAACAGCCAGATATCTTCCTTGCATGTTGAGGCTTGCAAAGCTGATTCCTGACATTTTCCAAAGACAATCATATTAGTTGGTTCGTTCTTACCAATTTATCTACCGTTTTAATATAGAAAAGGAAAGCAAAACTCAAGACACTAAATATCAAAATTAGCAACATAAGAAATTATTGAATTAAACCATTTTTAGACGCTTGTGAATGACATAAATAAAACAAACTTGAAACATTAATAGTTCCAAAAACAATATATGGTTAGCCACTACTGTTAAATACACAACAAAATTATTTAGTCTCACTAAAGTCTAAACTCCAAAGACTTCTACTTGCAAAGAAATTATAAAGGTCATAATTATAAGATTCTTATGCATCAAAGCCTTGCTCGTAATATGTTCCGGGTCATTGTATTGTTAAGAATAAAGATATTGATAATACTTAAAGGCTGATACATGCTAAGCCTCCATACTTTAGAAGTAAGCAACAGATCTCATAGGTTGAAGTATGCAAAATAGTTAGGGATAGTATGTGGGTGCTTGTTAAGGAACAAGTTTACTAAACATGACCAGTTGTAAGGGTTCCATTTGGTATTTCACTCAAGTGTCTATGGAAATAGTATCATGTGTCAGTAGTATAAGTACTCTTTAGACTTGTGATACTAAGTCATCTTGTATGTGCATTGTCATGCTTTGATTTCACCTCTATGGGTTTGAAAGTGACCAGATACCTAAATAAGGTACTTTTGGGTGTAGCATGAAGCATGCAAAGATGAATGTGTAGTCTAGGGAGGATTCATCACCCTTAAGTGATTTGAAGATGACATATCTCATTTGCTCTTGGCTTATATTGACCAAAAGTCCTTGGCCAAGGCAATCTTGATAGGTCAATTTGAAAGCTACAAGACTAATATGGATAAGTTAAAAAGTAGATACCGAGCCAGACTTTCTATTTATTTGGGATATATGATGAAAGAATTGATTTACACTAAGATACTATACATTGAAAGGTTATTCAAACCATATTGACTCTCTTGACATTTGGATGGGCATGATGCATTGCTAAATGCCGCTCATGACCTATAAATATAAATATAAATTCTTACTTGAATTAATTTATATTTATTACCAACTTGTTGGATGCCTAATAGGTCACACATATAAGATGAATTGTCAAAATTAAATTGAGTTCAATTGGATGTGATTTAATTAATTTTATAAAGGCTTAATACAATTAGGTATTGAGCTAAATCAAATATGATTTGGTGGAGTATTAAACAAAAGCCTACTTAGCCTAAGACATTTTATAATCCTTGTTGGATATGAAGTAAGTCAATCTACTCTATAAAAGAATCCTTTTGCCGTCTCTTGAATTAACAGAAGAGTTTTATTTTATTTTTTTTATGAGTTGAATGGAATCACAATAAAAAAAAGAGCAACACAAGGGACCTCAAAGTTGAGAGTTTACTAGTATAAACTTTGACTTAGAGATTAACACACTTTTAGTGAAGAGATTTCGACAAATCACTGTGTGGATCACCATTAGAGGTAGGACAATTACGCTACTATTGTTTGATAAGTCTTAGTTGATGTACAAAAAGGAAAAAAAAATCCAAAGAGGACTCCAGCAAAGAAAGCAAACATCAAACTATCAAGTATGTCGAAATCTTTCTCTTGTGGCTTTTCTCGATTAGTTTCAATTAAAGTGATCCATGGGTTAGGGGATTAAAATTTTTAATATTCTGCTGCATATGTTTCATCTTAACATGATTCGATTCCCCTTCATGTAAGATATAATGAAGCATGAAGATAAGTTCATGATGTTACATGCTATGGATATGTTAAATCTTATATGATTATGAAGGCCTTGATGTGGGGTGTTGTACCACACATAATTGCGGTAGAATAACACTTACAATATATTCTAGATAATGGCAATCGTACCATTATCTACGGTTATATATGTAGTTATGATTTAGAGTAAAATGCAATTTGCATTTTTGTCCTGTACGTTAGCATGAATGTTTTAAAACCCCAAAAACAAATTTCTTTGATCCTTATAAATTAAAACAAGTTAATATTAAAATATTAAACTAATATATATAAGTAAATAATTAAATAATGATCAATGAATTTGTATAACTCATTAAATATAACAATAACTTTATAAAATATTAATATATTATAACATATCTATAACATATATAAATGTAGAATAACTAATTGGATCAATTGATTAATACCTATCATTCTCAATTGAATTAATTTTTTTAATACACCTTATGTCAAAACGACATTGTTTTTGGCATTTGAAGGGTTTTTTTTTACCCTTCCTTATTTCCTAGACTGAATCAGTTCCTCGTTTAGCCTTGATTTATGTTGTCTCCATTTTCTTCGTCTCATTTGTTTTTTTCCAACAGCACCACTTCTTTGCTTCTGATGATCATTTAATCCTTCAATTTCTGTAAAGCTTCCCTGCGTAAGTTCTAGGTTTTAATTAAAACCTTGAAAAAACCTCCATTTTAAGCCGTTTTGTTACAAAACACCATTCCTCAACCACCGCCACACTGTCATTCAACCTCCCAATTGCATAAACCACTATTACTACAAAGTCACCAAGTCAGGATTTTGATTTTCCTCCAATATTTCACCTTATAACTACATTCCTGGCACCATAATTTCTCGATTTTTCTGCAATGTCTAGGTATTAATTGATTTTTTCTTCTCAATAGATGATCTTTTTTCAATTGCCTCTTTGACTTGGATTTAGGCACTAATATTAGACGATAAGTTTTATATCTTATACAGGATGCAAACTTACAATGTAATTAATACTTTTGGCACCAATGGTTCTAGTCTTTAATTTGTTCTCTAGCAAAGATATATTATTTAGCAATCAATACCATCACATGAATAAAATGGAATCAAGGTATGGCTCTGTAATTAGACAAGATGTTCAGTTATCATATCAGTGATGCTTTATAATCTTTGAAATATGATGGGCATCCGTTAAAGTAAAAAGGGAAGCTGAGAAAAAAGTTAAGCCATAAGGTTAAAACATTTTTTTTATTGTTGAGATTAAGAGCTAATAAAGAAATATATAGTAGACAACAACCTCAAGAACAATAGGTAATTTTTTTTTTGAATGGCAAAATAATGGGCAAATTACTAGGATCAAAGTGTCATAATGATCAGTTAATAATTGGGTAATTTAAATAGTGCATGACTAAGTTCTTTGTCTTTACAACTATCTTTTCTTACGTCAATATTGTCTCAATCAATTTTTTTTTAATTTTTTCTTGATCTATTGCCTTATTTTTTATTTGATCTCATTGTTTATGCACCATATTGTTCCATTCAAAGTTTTGTTAATGCCATGTAGGTAGGGTTCAATTAGCTATTTTTCTCTTATTCTTTTCTTCTGTAGTTGTAAAATATATTTGCAGAAAACATTTAAGTTGTTATGTGGGGAAATCAGTTGTTCCTTTTTTTGTTTATTCATTTTTACTTATTAGAAGTAAATGAAAATTAACTTAGAAAATGAATTGAGCATCTGGGTGAACTTGATGTAAAGGAAAGGAATTTTATTTTATTTCTTTACTATTTTGTTTCGTCTTGATTAAGTCCATCTGATATATTTATTCCCCATATAATTAATGACAAAAGTGTTGATTCTGTAGGAATTTTGTACAGCAAAGGATGAACAAAGCCAAATGCTAAAGGTAATTTTTGATAATATTTTCTATAATGTTATGGTTCATTACCTGCTAATAGTCCTATTCCTACCCATATTTTCTAAAGAGATGTCAGTTTTTGGATTGATATGCAAAAAAGCTAGATAGAAAAAATTAAACCAGAATAAATCAAATTTTTGTAATTTCACTTAGTGGATATTTTGCTAATACATTGATTACTTAATTTTAGAATCTGATAGACTTTTTTTACATGTGTTTCGGTCATTAGATTCATATCATAAATGAAATAAAAGAATCTTTTATTACTTCAATATTGACTCAGTTGAATCTTTTTTTTTTTGGATTTTTTCTTGATCTATTGCCTTATTTTTTTTATTTGATCTCATTGTTTATGCACCTTATCATTCAGTTGAAGGTTTTGTTAATGACCTATAGCTAGGGTTGAGTTAGCCATTTTTTTCTTTTTTTTTCTCGGTAGTTGTAAAATATTTTTACAAAAAACATTTAAGTTGATATATGGGGAAATCAGTTATTTTCCTATTTTTTTTATTCATTTTTACTTATTAGAAGTAAATAAAAATCAACTTACAAAATGAATTGAGCATCTGGGTGAACCTGATGCAAAGGAACGAAGTTTTATTTTATTTCTTTACTATTTTGTTTCGCCTTGATTAAGTCCATATTATAAATTTGTTCCCTATAAAATTAATAACAAAAGTGTGTTTATTAGGAATTCTGTGGAGCAAAGGATGAACAAAGTCAAATGCTGAAAATAATTTTGGATAATATCTTTTGTAATATTACTGTTCATTGGTTACTAGTAGTCTTGTTCCTACCCATATTTTGTAGAAAGATGTCAATTTTTGGATTTACATGCAATGAAGTTACATAGAAAATATTAAATCAAAATAAATCAAATTTTCGTAGTTCACTTAGTGGGTATTTTACTAATGCAGTGATTACTTAATTTTAGAATCCAATAGACTATTTTTTACATGTGTTTTAGTCATCAGATTCATATCATAAATGAAATAAAAGGATCTTTTATTACTTCAATATTGATTCAATAGAATTTTTTTTTTATTTTTTCTTGATCTATTGCCTTACTTTTTATCGATCTCATGGTTTATGCACCCTATCATTCTGTTGAAGGTTTTGTTAATGACATGTAGGTTAGGTTCAATTACCCATTTTTCTCATATATTTTCCCCTATAGTTGTAAAATATTTTTACAAAAAACATTTAAGGTGTTATGTGAGGAACTCAATTGTTTTTCGCTTATTTGTTTATTCATTTTACTTATTGGAAGTAAATGGAAATCATCTTAGAAGATGAATTGAGCATCTAGGTGAACTTGATACAAAAGAAAGGAATTTTATTTTATTTCTTTACGATTTGGTTTTGTCCTGATTATGTGCATCTGATATATTTGTTCCTCATAAAATTAATGACAAAAATGTTCATTCTATAGGAATTCTATGGAGCAAAGGATGAACAAAGTCAAATGCTAAAGGTAATTTATGATAATATCTTCTATAATATTATGGTTCATTGCCTGCTAGTAGTCCTATTCCTGCCTATATTTTTTGAAAAGATGTTAGTTGTTGGATTGACATGCAATGAAGCCAGATAGAAAAAATTAAACCAGAATAAATCAAATTTTTGTAGTTTCACTTAATGGGTATTTTGCTAATGCATTGATTACTTAATTTTAGAATCTGGTAGACTTTTTTCTAATTGATTGATTTTTTACTTTTGTTGTAGAATTTTGATTTTTGGTATTGTTATTATTGATACTTGAGATATAAAGGTACAATTGTTATTCTTTTTTTTTTTTGTTTCAACATGTAATTTGATATTGTTACTATTTTTAGTTTGATATTGAATGATCTAATGAGTTGATTAAGCAATTATTTCAAAGTTGAATTTTAGAGTTCATATTTATATTTTTGGTTGGGTTTTGGTGAAATGAATCATTGCATTAATGTTTCATTGTTACTGGAAAACTCCAATCAATTAGCAAAAGGATAAAAGCGATACAATTAATAGTAAAAAATTTCCCTTGAATCCAAGGCATGAAAATTGACCCCAAATAACAGAGAACATAGGAGCATTTCTCTGCATCTTACAATAAATAATAATTGTTATCTCGTTGCACAACATAATGCAATAAATGTGGTAGTTCTAAGTGAATTTCTAACCTTCTCTTTTTTGTAATAGCATTAGTGTAGCAGGTTTACACTCTGAGAAGTTACCCTAGCTTGAAGTTCAAACATGTATTTACTTTTTTTAGTCATAAAAACTAATGAAAGCTTCAATGACTCTGGCAAGTAACCTTTAGGTATAAAAGGATCCATATACATTTCATTACTATGAGTCAGCAACTGCATTGAGATAGGAAACAATGAATGAGCAATATAAACATAACAACTTAACTAAATCCATGCCATCTCTATCAAAAGTAAAAGAGATCTTATGAATAAGATTCCCTCATTTGAAGCACACCTGCATAGCAACCATAACAAACAAAAAAGTAGAATAGCTAATGCATATTTATATTAAAGATATATGGTTTACATTTTAAAAGCTTACCTTAATAGCTATATTAATCATAGAACTGCGGATTATTGTTGGTTCAATAAACAATTTTATTTTCCACTTAAAATTACATTAATCAATTGTTTAACTTTTAGTTATGCATGGTACTTTCATTGGAATTAATGTATTACATCTATACATTTTACACAGATACAATGTCAAACGAAAGTCCATGAAAAAGAAAAAGGTATGAACAGAATAATCATTGTTTAAACTGTAGTACCAATTTTAACAAATACTTTATTATGTACTTATTGTTGACAATCAATCTTTGTTGTTTTCTATGGAACAAAGTCCTGTACTGACGAATAGCAATGTCATTCAAACTATGAGCAATGTTGAAGGTAATTTTATTATTAAAAAAAACCTAATTGATATACCTTTTATGGAATTTTGTTTTACATTCGATTCCTTCAACCAGTAGTACATAAGGAAGAATGAGTGTACAATGCTTTTATGATGTACTCGTTATGGATTGTTGGTTTATACAATATGTTCCTTCAACCAGTAGTACAAAAGGAAGAAATGACGTACAAGGTACATATCAATATTTGCAAATCTTTTACTTTTACTACATATTTATTCCATTATTGTACAACTAATTTGCAGTTAAAATGTACATTTACCTATGCATTGTTTCTGTTATTTCAAAAACATTAAGTATTCACGAAGTTGCAAATTTTGAGTTTGAAAGACATGAACAAAGCATTGATACATCAATTCTATTAAGGAACTATGGCGATCAAAGTAAGTAATGTTCTATTTGCAACAATTTTTTATTAAAAGTGATAGTGTTACAATGCTTTTGACAATGTCATTGTTTATTTTTTTTACATAATAGGAAGATGCAACACAATATTAAATTTTGGAGAACCAAACTTGCCCTATCCATTCTATAATGCTCTTATGTGGTATGAAGAAAGAGTTAAAACAAGTCAAAATATAAGGTATTATACATTTACATTGTGTTGCCAATAAGGTACGGTTCGATTACCATTGTTTAGGCCTACCCTTGAATTTTTACATTGTGTATTAGATTATGAAGGAGATAATAAGAGTAAAAAATTTAAAGACAATAATTGGAGGAAAAATAGAAAATAGTGTAAACAATACAACAAGTCCATACATCTTTAAAATAAACAGTTAAAACCATCATCGACTTGGCCTTTTGCTTCCTATGGTAGGACAAAAACCTAAGTTTGCCTACCTTTATATTTATGATATTGAGAATAAAACTTCAAATAGAATCTCAGTTTTTTCACATTAAAGTACAAGTAATGTCGTGGATAGATCTATAATAAAAGGTTTAATTAAAATGCTTGATGAAAATAACAAAATAGTTAAAGTTTTTAAGATAACAAGAGATAGGTTCAAAATGTCAAGCCATATCCCAATTCGATTAAGATTGTTTGGAGTTAGGAATAGTAACAAGAGAATTTATGTTAGTTCTAATAGATTAGAAGTTGCTAGATTGATTATTGGGGATTTAGGTGAATTTGATCAAAATTGTGACATTATTGTTAAACATAGAGCTAAAGGGCTAAAAAGAATAAGTGAGCTTCACCTTTTTTTCATGGCTATGCAACATCCATTATTATTTCCTTATGGAGAGGACAGATACATGCTAGATATAAATTATATTGACTCTTTGGTAAAATAAATGCCAAAAGGAAAAAAACATGTCAATAAGAAAATATTATGCTTTTGTTGTTCAACAACGTAATCCTACACAGAGTATGTTATTAAGAGGTGGTAGATTATTCAACAGTTTGTTGTTGATTCATTCTTTGCAATGGTTGAGATGATATTGCAGTACATAAGAAATAAAAACAAATATGAGGTCGAAACTTTACAAAAGATTGAAAGACGCTGTGTTAAGAGGTGATATACAAGGACAAACAATTGGAAACATGAAATCTTACCTGCAACATTTACGAGAAGTCTTCGATATCTATTTCAAAATTATCAAGACATATTGTGGTAATTTGTTAGTACAATGGTTGTTCAGATTTGTTCATCACATTCACTTGTAATGCAAAATGGCTAGAAATTGAGCAAGCTTTATTTATAACACTTGGTCAGCGATATGAAGATAGGCTTGATATAGTATCATAAGTATTTAAACTCAAGCTCTGTTGTTTCATAGAAGACTTGATTAAGAAAAAACATTTTGGACAAGTGTTGGCAAGTAACTTTTTTAAACCACATATAGTTAGTTCATTTGAATTTAATTGTTAATATTAATTTGAATTTATTAATATCTATTACCAACAATTATGTCTTTGTTATTGTTATTTTAACTAAAAACATATACCATTGAATTCCAAAAATGTGGTCTACCACATGTTCATATACTACTTTGGTTACACTTAAGTGCAAGATGTACAAATTCTAATGATGTGAATAAGATAATATCTGCCAAGATTTCAAATAAAATTCATGATTCCATGGGATATGATGTTGTAACAACTTTTATGTTACATGGTCTACGTAGTGCTGCCAATTCTTATGCACCATGTATGGTTAAAGGTAAATGTTACAAGTCTTTCCCAAACAGTATCAGTCAGAAACAGTAGTAAATGAGGATGAGTTCACAATTTACAGAAAAAGACAAGTAATGGACAATTCTGTTGCTATTAAAAATGGAGTTAAGTTAGATAATAAGTTTATCATCCCTCACACTGTAGATTTAGTTTTAAAATATTGAGCTCATGTGATGTCAAACTTTGTAATCAATCGAGGGCTATCAAATATTTATTCAAGTATATTAATAAAGGACAAGATAAAGCTAGAGTTGTTATTAAGAATGCTAGCTTCAATGGTAATGTGGAAGAGCAAGAGATAAGGAACAGCTTTGATGAAGTTAAAATGTACTTGGATTGCAGATATTTATCAACTTCCGAATCATGTTGGAGACTATTTGCATTTGACATACATACTTATGGAATACAGCTATCTCAGGAATCAGATCTACAAGTAAAATTGTTCTAGCTATAGCTTTGTCTAGAATTACATCCTTACTGCTACAAGGAGGAAGGACAACACATTTTAGATTCCAAATTCCTTTGAATGTTGACGAGTGTTCCACATGTCAGATTAAAAGAGGTGCACAACTTGTAGCGTTGATCCAAAATATCAGTCTTATAGTTTGGGATAAAGTTTCTATAGTACATAAAAATTGTTTTGAAGCTTTAGACAAATGTTTATGAGATTTAATTAGTCACAGTCCATCTAAACCTGTGCAAAGGCCGTTTGGTTGAAAAACAATCCTGTTAGGAGGAGATTTCAAGCAAATTTTACCTATCATGGAATGCGAAACAAAATCTGAAATTATAGATGCATCAATTAATCAATCTTTGTTATGGAATTATTGTCAAGTATATAGATTGAAGAAAAATGTAAGGCTTTTACAATCACATCTAAATAAAGAGACTAGGCATGAAATTTCAACATTTGCTCGATAGTTGATAGATATAGGAAATGAAAAAATTGAGACTTTTACCTACGAAGAAGAAAAATAACTAATATTGGATTGAAATGCCTATTGATTTATTGCTTCCATTAACGAAAAATCCAATAGAAATGACTGTGTTAGTTGTTTGTGGTAATCTTGAAGACAATTTGTAGACTTAGATTATTTGAGATAAAGATCAATTGTAACTCCATACAATGACATTGTTGATTTGATAAACTCATATATACTTGATTTGCTTCCAAGTACTATATAGTTATTTTATGTATTAAGATTATTTAAAATAAATAGTAATTGTATACAATACAATCAGAATATTAATATAATAAACTTATATGTCGTTCATTTGATTGCAGGTGCATTAAAGACCTACTACAATATTGATCAAATATAAGAAACGTTAGATTATTGTTAGAAACACGAACTATTATATCCAATAAAATTCTTGAACTCACTTAATTTTCCTAGCATTCCTAATGACAAATTAAAAATGAAGGTAAGTACAGTCATTATGTTATTAAGAAACATAAGCCAAAGCTATGGACTATGCAACGAGACTAGAATTTTGGTTACACAACTAGCTCCCAATGTCATTGAAGAAAAAATAATTTTTGGATCATTTGTCAATATTTTAGTTTCTATTCCAAGAATAATTATGACAACCAAGCAACAAAAATGGCCATTTGTTTTCCAGAGAAAACAATTTCTAGTTAGATTAGCTTATAGTATGATAATTAATAAAAGTCAGGGACAAACTCTTGATATTGTTGGTTTGTATTTACCAAAACATGTTTTCACACATGGTAAATTGTATGTAGCTTTATCTATAGTTACATCACAACAAGAAATTAAAATCATAATTTTGAATGAAGACAAACAACAATTGAATAAAACTAAAAATGTAGTGTTCAAACAAATCTTACAAAATTTACATTAAGGTTAGCTTTTCTTTTCTCTTACCTAATAAAATTGTACATTCTTAATTAGTATCAATTTGCTTATAGATCATTTTCTCTCTTGCCTACAGTTTTCCTTAGTGAAGGTTAACTTATAAATGTTTTACCTATGTAATTGGTACATTCTAAGTTAAGGAAATGACTTCAAGCAAATGTCAGTCTTGACATTGCTACATCAATCTGAAAAGTTTATGGAGTTATATACTACATCATCCCTCTACTCTTACCTCTTGATCTAATCTTTAAGTTACTATTACAATCTAGAATCAAAGTTCAATAGGTTGTCCTTTAGAACCTTCATGTTCTGAAGGTATATGATAATATCTATTACTAGTATCTATAATGCAATTTGTCTAAACAAGTTGATTAAATTAAAACAAATACTGAAAGGAAAGAAATATACTTGCATCAAATTCATAGGTCAATGAACCTTCCAAAATTAGAAAACTACCGCTAACATTTCATGCAACCATGTTCATGCATTAAAGAAAAGCTTCTATAATGTGAAATATACCTTGAATATTATTTAACTAGTTACTAATTATCCATGTAATTAATCATTTCATTTGTTTTCTACCTACGTTTGCTTTTCCATCATAGTAAAGCCTTTTTTGTGTGATGTGCAGCATGTTAAGCTTGATTGTATATCTTCCAAGCAAGAATTGTATTTGTCAAAGGCAAATTATTTCATTTTCATTTTAAATTTAAAATAATTTATATTTCTTTGTATTACAATGCAAAAAAATTCCATGATCATCTTCTTGCCCTTTATAAAACTAATGCTAACACTACTATTAAGCAGATTGGAAGAACTTCAAAAAGGACACTTTTAAGGTAGTCGTACTGTTTCTTCTTCATCACTTATTTGAACATAATTGAAATTATGTGATGTAAATGACAAGACCAAGCACCAACCAATTGCAACTGAGCAACTAACCAAAATCGACTACAATAGCAATTGTCGGCTCGGTTATTCAATGGTGGTTGCTGGTGTCAATTGTGACAGATGGTCTTATGGCCATTGCGATTTTGTCTTTAGGGGCACTCTCCCCTCAATCGGACCAATCGAAAAACTGAGAGGAAGAAATTCCATTAATAGGCTTCATTAATCCCCACCCCTTTTCTTTCTTCCCTTGCTATCTTTCTCCCAATTCTTCATGTGTCCCCTTTGTATAAAATCTAAATCCCTAAAAATTAAAACATACATCCCCTCCCCGACTCCTCTCTTCTTTTTTCTTTCTTTATTCCTTTGCTTGGTGCTCTCTATAGTCATCTATCTTCCTCCTTGCTGCTGATTGCCTTTGTTTCAAGGTTTGCTTATTGTGGGTTGTGATATGACTTATGTTCATGGTTGCTTTCTTAGGGCTTTTTAGGTTTTTGCTATGATGTTCAATGATGATAATTTACATATTCATACTTATTTTTATGTTCATTTTGATGGGTTTGGTCAATAATTTGTTATACTTCAAATATTAGAATATGCTAATTAAGTTTGGATCTGTTGATCTTTTTATAATGATTCATAAGTGGTCAATTTTTTGCATA